GAGGTCCTAATGTACCCATCTTATAGTCCGGACCTGGCACCAAGTGACTACCATCTTTTCCTGTCAATGGCAAACGCGCTAAATGGTGAGAACTTGGCCTCAAGAGAGGAATGTGAAAATTGGCTCTCCGAGTTGTTTGCCAATAGAGACGCAGCCTTCAACGAGAGGGATATAATGAAGTTGGCATCTCGTTGGCAACAAGTTTACAAACAAAACGGCGCATATTTGACTTAAGTCGGATAAATGTACACAAAGTTATCATATTTTGAAAAATTTATAAAAAAAACCGAATGAACTTTTTACTTGTCCTAATATAAAGGAGACAAACTACAATAGCGACTTATTTTAAATCGTTGCATTAAAAAAGTTTCAAAATAATTATGCAAAAGGTTGGGTAATTTATTTTTTTTTATACTATTATATCATTTTAATTTATCCTACATTGTTTGAGGCCATTTTATTTTATTTACCACTTTTGACTTTGTTTTTATTTTTCATTTTATTTTATCTTATTTTATTTTATTTTAATTTACTTTATTTTTTTTAATTATTTTATTTTATTTCAGTTTAGGATGTTTTGTTTTGTTTTAGCTTAGCTTAGATTATTTTGTTTTAGTTTATATTATTTTAAATTTTTTTGTTTTATTCTATTTTAGTTTTTTTTTTTTATTTTATTGTAGTTTACTTTAATTTTTTCAATCATTTTGTTTTTTTTGGTATAGTTTATTTAATTTTTTTTTTTTTATTTTAGCTTAGTTTTAATTTCATTTGAGTTTAGTTTAGTTCATTTTGTTTTATTTTATATTATTTTAATTTACTTATTTTTTTTATTTTGGTTTCTTTTGTTATATTTTAGTTTAGTTTAGTTTATTTTTTATTTTATTTTAGTTTATTTTATTTTGCTTTATTTTACTGAATTTTTTTTTTATTTTATTATAATTTAATTTGATTTTATTTTAGTTTAATTTAATTCATATCATTTCGTATCATTTCATATAATTTTTTTATTGTGCATTATTTTTTTGTTCTTTTTTCATTAATTTTTTTTTAATTATTATTTATTTTACTGGCTTCGATTTCCTTTTATTTGTTTTCACTTGCTTATTTTTCATATAATATAGTTTTGTTTTTTATTTAATTTTATTTAAATAAATTTAATTTTATTTGTATTTATTTATTTTATATTAATTAGTTACTATTTTATTTAATTTTCTATCAATTTTTATTATATTAGTTTTTATTAATTTTATTTTATATATTTTTTATTTAATAATTTTAATTTTTTGTGTGTTTTTTTGTTTTAATTTATTATGTTTAATTTAATTTATTTTACTTTATTATTTAATTTTATATTTATTTTTTTAACTTTTTTATTTCATTTTGTTTTATTTTTTATTTCTATTTCATTGCATCTATTTTTCTATAACATGTCATTTTATTTAAATTAATTTAAATTATTTTAATATAATTTTTTTCAATTTTGTTTATTTTAATTTGATTTAATTTCGCCAAATAATATTTTATTTCAATTTCTATCAATTTTTAGTATTTTTATTTTATTTTATTTTATTTGATTTTATATTATTTTAATAATTTACCTTAACTTTTATTATTCTTCCACTATATTTAATTCATATAATTTTTTAATAATATAACTTGTATTAAGTAATTTTATTCTTCATTTTTTAGTTTAATTTTATATAATTAGATTAATTTAGTATTTATTTTTTTATATAATTTATCTTACTTTATTTGTTATTCATTTTGTTTAAACTTTTTATTGGCAACATTTTTACTAAACCAGACACTGCTCTTTGTGGATGAGCATCATTCTGAATGAGTGTGTCAATTCATAAGTGCCAAAATGAGAATATTAAAATTAATAACAAAAATAAAACATCTCCTCTGAGTTGAGGGATCAACTGTGTGTGTATTGAATTTCGGTGAATGGTAAATATTTTTGTTGATCTTAATGCCGATGTTAATGCTGATAAACTAGTTTGGCTTGGCGCGACGCACCGTTCCAATTAATTAGCAATTTGTCAAGCGTATAAAGTCCGTAGTCTCTACATAATATCCCTTTTAGCGCCGACTCATCTCCACCATCTCAGTTGCTGGCTCCAGTCAGACGCGTCAACCTGTTTTCCTCGATCACTCACGTACGCACTCACTCATAGGCATGCTGTTGCCCCAATTTATGGGTGTTGGTATTTATGCCGAATTTATAGCCGAGCAAGCACAAAGTAGCCACTGGAATTTCGTTTTGCACTGCTTTGGAGCTGCGCCATAAGACTTTCACATCCTACGGTTCTGTTCGTTGACGTCAAATAGAATTTTTTCCATAACGTAATAAACAAAAGCGAAATTCTTTGTGTCGCCAACCACAGGTTTTTATGTCGCATAAATCCGTTTGGCCATTTTAAAAGAATGTGGTTGTTGTAGTGAGTTTTGTTTAGTTCCATGGAATTTTGTTTTCGATTGTTTCTTGGATGCGAAGTTTTTTTGTTTACAATGATTGGTATTTTTTTGGTGAATAATTTTTTGCATAGATTCCATGTTGGACTCCAGGCTCTGGGCGATAAATAATTTATTGTTTGTTTTTTTTTTTGTTGAGAAAAGCTTGATATCATCGGCGCCGGTTAAATTGTAAACAAATATTTATTATGTAATTTTCTTAATTAATTTTGAGCAGATGTTTGCGTGTCATCAGTGACCAAAACTATGCCGTAGAATGCGGAATGTTTACTATCATTCAAAAGAACATTTTTTGGCATTTATTTCTGGAAGATAATACCTTTGAAATGTTGGCCTCGGATACGTCTCAGATAGTCCAACCGTTAAGTTCGTTTTCGAAGACTCGTAACTGGTAATTGGCAAATGACACGCGTGATTTTCTGCTCTAAGGCCTGAATTGAAGCGTGTTGTCCGCATAGACTTTGGACTTTATATATCGCCACAGGAAAAAGTCTAACGTTATGTTATCACACGATCTAGGTAGACAATCGACCGACCCTAAACATGAAATTAATTGCTTACCGAAGTGTTTTTCAAGAAATACATTTGTGATATGTGAGAAGTGACGTCGTCCTGTTGAAACCAAATATCGCCGAGGTCACGAACTTCAATTTCAAGCAACACATAATCGGTTATCATGGCGCGCCATTGACGGTTCCGTTCTCACCGGCATCATTATTTTCCACCGGCCAGGTTGCAGAGTCCACAATAACTCTCGCTTTACACAGTACCATGTCAATTGGTTATACTATCATAGGTACTTTCACACCTGATTTTTCTGAGAGAGTCTGGGAGTCTTCCTCTTCCTCTACTTCCAACGACGTGATCTTGATAGCGTAACCTCTGTGTATCAATTGTTCCGTTAGTCTTAAACACAATACGAATTGGACGGAGTGTTCTCTTAAGATCCAATCGTTTTTTCGGGGAGGAGTTGCTTGTCGGACTTCATCATAGTCTGATTCAAACATTTCAAACGCTCTCTATTTCAATTTTTAAATGCGTCTTGTCTTCCTCTTAAATTCTCAGTCCACTTCCCAAATTGTACGCGTTGCGTTCGTTTGCGATTAATGGAAGATTAATGATTTCTTTTATTGCTGTGGGGGCTTAAAATGTTGTTCCACAGTTTCCTTCCACTGAATAGGTGATGAGCGCTGTCAGGAATCAAAAATACATATCGAGTAGAAAACTGCTCGTCGAACCATCTACGTGTACGCGAGCTCTTTGCTGCACAGAGGTCAATGCATATCTTTGGTTGCTAAAAGTTATAGGACTAAGCGAACGCCGAAAGCATCTTTGCTCACATCGTTCCCCTTCTAAGTTGAAAGATTCCCTTTCATGCAGACTGTGCTGAGACGTCCACTAGATGCTGAGACGTCCACTAGAACTCGCAATCCGAGCCTCTCTGCCACTACAAATCGCGAATCACAGTAACAATGGCGGCCATATCCGAGTAGATAGCATTACGTACTGCCATTCGGTAGACTAGGGTTTGAGTCCTGGTTCGACCAACTTTCAAAATTATGGAAAATTAATTTCTACAAATTCGGTCGCCCTACGGCGTGCCATTGGCCGTTCGGAAGTGGCTTAGAATAAACTGTAGGTCCCTCCATTTGTTCGCAAATCAACAAGACGCATACCACAAATTATAGGAGGGGCTCGAACGAAAATCGCTTCAGCTGTTACATAGCGACAATTATATACGAAGTTTACAAGGATCTATTTTTTTCATCCCATATATTATATTTCTTGTTTAGCCGTTCATCTCAAGACCGACGCCAGCTCGCGGTCACTGAGATTTAACGAGGTGTTCAGGCGAATGGAGGAGTGTAAAACGTCCCGGCCAAATTCGGTGGAGAAACAGAACGATTGCTTTACTTCAAGGTTGTAAACAAGATGAAGCATCATTTTTGGTTTTCAGAATTAGACGTAAAGTCATTTTAAATTCCAATTAAAATTGATAACAACTCGATTAGGGGAATGCTTCATCAGCATTCTTATGAATACTAAAAAAAATTATACCGGCGGGGAATTGATATTGTCTAAAAAGCAATGCGCAAACGTAAATGAAAAAAAAAAAATAATAAAAATGGGAAAATACCAAACAAAGCACTAAATACAATAAAAAACACACGATCGTCACAACCAACGTTGGTGCCGTCGAACTTGTTCGCTATCACCGGACACAGCGACACACCAACTCAATCAAGCTCACTGGAAGCTCAGGCTCGCGCTGAGTTTGGGGATACGTCAAACTGCCGACGAGCAGTAGCTGTGTGAGCGCCAATACAACGGGCAAGTTTGTATCTCAAAAGTTAAAAAAAAAATCAAAAAACAACCAAGAAAGAAGCACAAAAAACAATAACAAACCAAAAAAATGTTGTGAGCGAACAAAAAATGGCGCAATGAAAAAACAACCGGCAAAATTAGCGGATTTCAGTGAGTTTCGAAATAAAATTTCACGTCTCAGTTAGAATGAGCTTAGATTTAAGCGAGAGTTTGAGGCGAGAAGACCTTGCAAAACGGATAATTCATTGTTTACAACCGAAGTGAAAGGCGAAGAAAAAGAAGAAGAAAAGCAAAGTTTAAACCGTAGAATTCAAATTGCATTGAAACGTTTTTTTTTCTGCTAAATAAATAAAAAGAATTCTAAATTCGAACAAATTAGGAAAGAGTGCAAAGTAAAGTGCGCGAATATTTTTGGAAATATAATTTGCAAAGTGCAAAAAGAAATGTATTTAAATACACAAAAAATGAGTTTACCCAGGACATTACTAGCCGTGTTGCTCAGCTATGTCACACTGGACACACTAGTGGCGCCACAGCAAATGCAGGTGCAAGGCTATGCCATTGGACAGTCAAAGTATGGGCGCATAGAGAAATTTCCCTATCAAGTCATGTTGATTGGCAAACAGTTGTGGCGCAAACGCATACTCTGCGGTGGCACATTACTCAATCAGCGTTGGATACTCACTGCCGGTCACTGCACCATGGGCGTCACACATTTCGACATCTATTTGGGCGCACTGACCATTGAAGATGCCGCCGAAACGGGTCGCCTGGTATTGCGCTCCAACAAATTCATTGTACACGAACATTTCAATCCCGAAACCGCCGCCAATGATATAGCGCTGGTCAAGCTGCCCATTGATGTGGCATTTACAGCGCGCATACAACCTGCTATACTGCCATATGTCAATCGCAATGATCCACTCACCGGCGCCAAGGTAGTGGCCACCGGTTGGGGTGCCAACAGCGAAATGTCCAATTATAATCCCATGCAATATACCGAGCTGCGTGTGATATCCAATCAGGAATGTGCAAATGAATTTGATGTGATCACAAATGGTGTGCTCTGCGCTAAAGGCTTGCGCGATGAGACAGTATGCTCCGGCGACTCTGGTGGTCCGTTGGTGTTGAAGAATACACAAGTGGTGGTGGGTATCACCAGTTTTGGACCAGCCGATGGTTGTGAGACAAATATTCCCGGTGGTTTTACGCGTGTCACGCATTATTTGGATTGGATTGAAGTCAAAACGGGCAGATTGAGTGAAAGAGTGCAACAGCAAAGACAACAGCAATTGCAGCTGCTGAGGCAACAACAACAAGTGCAGCAAGTGCAACGTCTACAACAGTTGCCACAAGCGTCAATGCGCGGCGTCGTGCGTGTTAATGAGAATGTCGTGTAATATCGGGTTTTAGCACGAGAGAAAGGGATTTGGGGTTTTCAAAACACAAAATTTTTTAGGGGGGTATAAAAAAATTCGTATTTCGACTGACTGATGTAAACAAAGCTTTAATTAGTGATTTTTAGCTCGTATTTATTATTATTTATAAATTATGTAAATACTTTCGTTCCAAAAAAAAAAAAAAAAAAAAAACGGAAATTAATTCAAAACACAATCTTTGGAGCATAAAAACAGTCATAAAAGCCACTGGGACGGCTTGTATTGCGCTGCTTTTAAGCGATTGGCGCTTGTGGTGATTCACCTGTGAGCTCTCTCATCTAAGCTTTTTGACGCAAATCGTGCGCGGAGTCCCGTTAACAAGTTAATCTGGCATGCCTGTATGTGTATGTGTGGCAAACGGGACTTGCATGAATTGAAGTGATCAATTGTTGTTGTTATCGCATTTAAGTAAAAACCAAATTGAAGTAAAATAATTTTAATTAATTTATAAATGGCATAATGTGATATTCGTGAATAGTGGTTAATAGCAAAAACTGCATGTGTGTACCCGTGTGTGTGTGTGTGCAGATTTTAATCTCCTAAATTTGTACTAAATTTTGCTTAAAATCAGTTAATGCATTATTTCAATTAAAATTCTCGTAAATACACACGCGTACACACACATGCAAGTATTATAGTATAAAATAGTATTAAGATTATGATATTTAATGTATTATTTATTTTAATTAGTTGCACGAAGAGAATTACGTGTTTGCTCGCATAACGACATTTCTTGGTTTACTACATATACATATGTATATGTTCATATATCAAAAAAAAAAAAAAGATTCAAACACAAATGTATATGCATATTTACTTGTTTTGTTTTTTATCAACACAAACTAAACGAAATTTAATGTATTTAACAAAGATTAAAACAAGTTAGACGGTTATCAGCAAACGCTTAACATTCACATTTACAAATTCAAAATTAAATACTAAATGAAACAAAAACAAAAAATGCTAAGGAAGAAAAATAAATAATTTAAACATATTTATGTATATTTAAAACAAATGGTATTTCGGGTTTTCTCTGAATACATGCGCACGTTTTGTGACTAGTTACATATTCGTACACGTGCAATTGGCAAGCTTTATTGGGTGAGTACAGGTCTACAGGGTATTTCACATATCGCATATCACTGGCTATGGTCTGGTTCCGAGTGTTAATTTATGGTTTTTAGAATACATTGAACGATTGAAAGGTCAGTTTTAAGGTCAAATAAAATACAAAGCTGGGAGTAGTGTCTGATTAAGTGGTGTGATTTAAATAAAGGAAAAAAACTAAATTAAATAAATTAGAGTATAATAAAATAAAATATATTATAGTAAAATAAATGAAATAAAGTAAAATAATTAAAAATGAAAATAAGTTAAAATAAAATACAAAAATTATTAAATTAGTTAAAATAAAATAAAATGAAATTATTATTAAATGAAATAAAACAAAGAAAACAAAATTAAGTGAAATATAACAAAAGATAATAAAAGATAGCAAAATAAAAAAAAGAAAATAAAAAAAACTTGATCTGCATCAAAATAGAATAAATTAGTGTAAAAATAAAATAAAATAACATGAAATAAAAAAAAATATTACATAAAATAATTTAAAACAAAATAAAATAGAATGAAATAAATTAAAAAAAAAAAACAAAACAATTTAAAAAAAAAATAAATTAAAATAAAATAGAATAAAATAAAATGAATTTAATAACTTAAATTAAAATGAAATAAAATAAAATAAATGGAAAATAAAATAAAATAAATTAAAATAAATAAAAGTAAATTAAATAAATTAAATCAAAATAAAATAAAATACAAAACAGTAAAATAAAATGAAATAGAATAAAATAAATTAAAAAAAAAAAACAAAACAAATTAAAAAAATAAAAAAATTCAAATCAAATACAATAAAAAAATAAAATAAAAGAAAATAAAATAAATAAAATAAAATTAACTCAATATAACATAAATTAAATTAAACGAAAATAACTAAAATAATATAATATAAAATAAATAAATCAAATTAAAATAAAATAAAATAAAATAAATAAATGCAACAAATTAAAATAAAATACTACACAATAAAATAACGAAAAATTAAAATAAAATAAATGATTCAGAGTAATATAAAAAATAAATCCAAAAAAAAAATAATATAATAAATAAAAAATAAAACAAATAATTGAAAATAAAATAAAATAATATGAAAAAAAGAACCTAAAATCAAATGAAATAAAATAAAATAATTAAAAAATAAAATAGAACTAAATAAAAAAGAAAACAGAGTAAGCTCAATGAACCGAAAACAAAAATTCTAAATTTAGTAAAACACACAAAATCAGGTCGAATAAAGTGAAGTAAAGTAAAAGTAAAATAGGTAATAAATTGAAAAACAGACCGATAGCCTTAGTAGCTAGTGTCTCTACTTTCGTAATATAATTATTTATAATTATGTTTCAAATAAATAAATAAATAAATATATAAATAAATAAAATAAATAAATAAATAAAGTAAATTGAAAAAAATAAGATGAAATTTAAATAAAATCAAATGAAACCAAATGAAACTTAGTTAATAATATAAAGTAAAATAAATGAAAATCTGGTAAAAAAACTAAATCATATAACTTCAAAGTTAAATATACAATGTATTAAAAAAAACTTAACTGAAAAAATTGTATTAAAATCACATAAATAAAATGAGGAAAATTAATGAAATAAAATTAAGTAAAAAGGCATAAGGTAAAACAAGATAATATAAATAAAATAATAGGAAATAAATGCATTAAATTAACATAAAATAAAAATATAAGCAAATTAAAACGTGACAAAATTAAATAAATTATAATGAAATATAATATGATATAATAAAATAAATTAAGTTAGAATGTAAAAAAATAACATATATTTTTGAAAAGAAATATTAAATAATAAAATCAAATAGAAAATTTTAAAGAAAATTATTGAAGACTTATAAAATATATAAAGATATATAAACAGAAAGTAAAATAAAGCAAAATAATTTATCTCAAAATAAAATAAACTAAATACGAAATTACAATCTTATTTCGTGCGTACGAAATATTATTCCAAAATCTCGTCAAAGAGATACATTTACATATATTTAGCCAAAAATGCCGAAAATAGGTCAAGATCGCGTCTCACCATGTTAGATTCCTTACATCATCTCATTGAATTAATTAGCCAAGGTCGTTTATTGATATTTGAAGGTGAAACAAGAATTCCACTCAAGCTTTACTAGGAAACAAAAAGTGTGTGAGAGAGAGAGAGAGAAAGTGAGAGAGAACCAAGAGAGGGAGATGGAGTTAGTTGAGCTTTTGAGTTCTTCTTAATACAAGAAATTTAAATGTAGGTCAAGGAGATATCATATAAGGCAGTCGTAATTCATGCAAAGACCGTAAAATCTATTGTTTCCAAATGATTCTCTTTTCCTTGACTTAAATTTTAAAATTATTCTCAGACTTTTTCTTTCTCCACAATTAAGGTTACTTTTGCTCTTTAAATAAGTCTTGATGTAGGTCAAGAATTTAGCAGAGTTGCACCGATTCTATTGTTTCATATTTAAGTTAACGGAGCTTTCTGAGAACACAGGGTGTAACAGGTGCAATCGAGTATTTTTAGCTCTGATATTTTTCGTTAAGGTAACGCATTTTTTGGTCTACCTTTCGCCTAATTTGCAAATTAGATTAATATCAAGAATAGAGAGACTATATATAATTGGCGCTTTGTAACCGCTGAAGCGATTCGCCGCCGATAGAGAAAATAATAAAGTAAACTGAGTGTTTTTAAATTACATCAGACTAGTAAATGGAACAATGTACACATGTATTTCAATTATTCCGTACATGGCTTTTTTGGTAGAATGAAAGACACTGGCAGAATGCAGCCATCAGAAAAGCAATCTGTAAAGCTATTTTTCTAAAGCTCATCATATCATCTGAAAGACTATAATTCTACCTTAGCGGCGAATTACTTCGACATCAAAATAATATCTGAAACATAAACATATGTGACTAATTGTGTAAAACTGGGAAATTGCGAAGAACGAATATTTTTAAAATCGAAAGTGCTTGCTTTATTTAAACCATTTTGAATTCCCTTTTTTAATCTAATTTTATTTTATTTTTTTTAGTTCGTTGCACTTAATTTTCTTTTGTGTTTTTTCTTCGATTCTTTTTAATTTATAATTTTATTTATATTTATATTTTCGATTTCCTTTTAATTTTAAATTTTATTCATTTTTGCTTTCCCTTATTGTATTATAATCTCTTTATTTTGCTCAAAGAGAATCGGTTTTTATTTTGATTTGAATTTATTTAAGTTAATTTGCTTTGTTTTATTTAGTTTAATTATTGCATTTTCTTCTACCTTAGTTTTTATATTTGATATTTTTTCTTTTTACATGATTTTATTTTAATTCAATCATTTTTATATTCAGATATATTATTTATTATAATTTTTTTTTTTATATTTTCTATTTTATAATTTTTTTTATTTTATATCAATGAATTTTTTTATTTATTTTATATTTTTTAATTTAATCAAATTCATTTTGTTTTAATTTATTTAATTTAATTCAGTTTTTATTGTATTTCATTTTATTTCAATTTAAATTAATCTAATTAATTTCATTTTGAAATTCTCTATTTTTATTCATTCATTTTACATTATTTTTTTCGACTCATTTTAATTTTTTAGTATATTTAATTTTTTTGTTTTCATCTATTTTATTATTTTCCCTTATTGTTTTGTTCTTATTGTATTTTATTTTCTTTGCTTGTATGAACTCAATCTTTTTAAGTATTAATTTATTTTATTTTAAAGTTTTGCTTTATAATATTAATTTTATTTTATTTTATCTTCTTATTTATTTTATTTTATTTTAATTTATTTTAATTTAATTTGTTTTATTTCTTATTATTTTACTATATTATATTTAGTGTTGTTGTTATTTGTTTAACATTATTTTATTTTACTTTACTTAATTTTTAACTGGTTTATTTTAAAAATTTTTACTATTGTATATTTTATTTTAATTAGTTTTTATTTTATTTTATTTCATTTTATTTTATTTTATTTCAATTTACTTTCTCTTATTAAAATAATAAATTATCATTTATTTAAATTTTT